GCGTAGTTCCCCCTCGGGCCGGGTTCTGAAGACTTCTAGGACGTCAGCCTGGTTGACGGCTATAACTTACCTATGATCGTTGAAGGGAGCGGGGGATCCGGTACGTGCGCGTCCACGGGCTGCGCTACGGACCTCAACCGTCGGTGCCCCGCTGAGCTCAAAGTCGACGGCGGCGGCGCGTGCAAGAGCGCATGCGATGCGTTTGGGAGCCCGGAGTACTGTTGCAACGGCGAGTATGGTTCACCGTCCACGTGTAAGCCGTCCATGTACTCGCAGCTGTTTAAGTCCGCGTGCCCCAAATCGTACAGCTACGCTTACGACGATGCATCCAGTACGTTTACGTGTACGGGTGCTGACTATACGATCACATTTTGCGCTTCTCTTCTTACAAGGTATTAGATGGAGTAATTTACAATATTATGTTGTTAATTTATTATTCATTTTAAACAAAATTATTTGAGTAACAAAATTTTGAAAACTAAATAATGACTTAATAGTCTAACAACATAATATGTATGTACAATTCGGATATACCGTTGCATGGAAGTTTTTTCTCCTAATGACGTAACAAACTCAATTGTGAAGTCATAGAATATTTCGTTTGAAAGTGTTTGAGTTGCATTTTTTAGGTTGATTTCAAATAGTAATTTGACTTCAATGATATGCTAATTATGCGTATAATTGACATTAACATGGTACGGAATATGTTTTTGTACAGTGTAAAATCCGCAACAGATTCCCCTTCACAAACAACTGATGGTTCAGGGTCGGATTCCGGGTCGGACTTACTGGCCTCATCATTGCTTGCAGATTTGGCCGCAGGGGATTCAACAAGAACCCAACCTTCCATGGCTCTCCGGAGCATGTTGGTTTTGGTCATCTCTTTGGTCCTCTCATTTTCACAGTTATCGTAGTAGACAGGCAGCCACTCATGTCCCAAATGAGTATGAGTATGAGTCCACCATTTGGCATCCTTGATCTTGAGAGTCCTAGAAAAAGAAGCAACAACAACACCCACTTCCAAATCCCCCCATTTTTAGCGTTCAATACTTACACATATATTAATATATGAAGCATGAGCATTTGTTTAGAAATAAAGATGTGCTTTTTTGCCCCTTGTTATATGTTTAAAGAACAATACTGGGAGACCTAATGTGAGGGACGGGGCCTTTGTAATAGACGCCCCTCACAGTAGGTCTGACAAAAAAATTACTTGCGACTCACTTGAACAAGCACTTTTCGATGCAAACGTGTAGCGTGAATAGGAAGTAAGTGGTGAGCATTCATGATTGGACAGCAGTAGTGCTTGTAGGGGTCTCCAATTTTGATTATTACAGCCTGAAGCCAAAAGAAAATATGCGATTTCAATTGATAACGTCAATTCTGAAATGGTTCATGTTTTGTGTTTGTTAGAAGATCCTAAAACATCATTATAATTGCTAGGAAGATAAGCAAACCAGCCTAAAAAGGCCAACGCAAGTATGATCCAAATTGCCGCCCTATGACTGTGAGTTGCTTGGAGCTTGACATCCTGGACATATAGATGCATACAAAGAGGTGATTCTTCACCAACTTGAGTGGAGGGAACCACACAAAGAAAGCATGACAAAGACAGGATCAAACCAACTTTTTCTTCGAGATAAGATGATGATTGATATTTGATCATGACTGCGGTCCATTTTCAATGGTGATGCTTCGTAATCCATCTTTTCATCATTTTTTCACCATCTGTTGATCATTTGATAAAAAACAGTAGAAAAGAAGAGCAATGTGAACATAACATGTTACCTTAAAACAATTTAACCCATTTTGGGTCATCCTTGTAGAAAAACTTCTGTATGCCCCGCCGGCACATAGCCCCGGTCTCTCACACACAAAATATAACAGACCCACAATAAAAATGGGTCTGACACTACAGTGAGAGACCAGCGCTGTGGAGTTTTTCTTCACCCCTCAAGTCAGTACGCTTACAGATAGATATAACCTTTGTTGCATGGGTAAGAGAACTGCAGTATTCACATGAAAAGGCTACTATATCATTATTCCCAAAGTTGCACCATATTATCGAATCAGACATAATCCTTCATAAACTTTGATTGCTTCTTCAGAAAGGTTGTGCTTTGCAATTGCGTATAGTTTTCGGGTTAAGTAAGAAGTCAAAATTTCATAAAAACAGAATCAAACAGCAGAGAATGCAAGGAGATAGACTCACCTTTATAAAAGCTAAGAATTTGAACCAGGGCATGTCACTTTTTTGCACACCGGACGAGGCTTGTTCACTGCTCTGAACCTGCGGTGACATCCAACTTCAAAGCAAACAAGTTATCTCCCACTCCCAATATGTTAGTTTAATTGATCCGAAGAGTATTGCTTTTGACATTGTTCAGCAGCGTCCTCTGTTGTCCATGTATTTGTTTACTCATGGACGGCCGTATTTAAAAGCTAAATATGTGACTTGATGCTCAAATAAAGATAAGGAATCTTCAGACAAGAAGTATAAAACTTTCAATGCACCCTCCTAGATCATGCTAAAAGGGAAATCAATCATTAATATATTATATCAATTAAAAAAGCAATCTCATTCTTGCATTACAATTGGTAAACTATAAATCTGCTAAGACCTATAGACTTAAAAAGGAAATCACAATTACAATAAACCAAAAAGGGTAATGTCATTCTTTCGCTTCCATTGGTAAACTAAAAGACAGGGAGGATCTACGCAATGATACGGAAGGACTATGCAGTTGAAGTGACTACGGATCTGGATCCACATATTGTGGAGGAAGTAGTACCGAATTCAGGCAGTACGCTGCAATTCCTATTTCCTTACAATAATTAGTACACTCAAACGGGCTACAGCACAGCTCAGCCAGCAAAATTTGATTCCGCCAGAGACGAATCTATATTGCCTGAAATATGTGCAGCTGACGAAGGAATAGGAGTGCAAGTTCACACTGTAATTCTGATCAATAAGGGATAGCAGTGATCTTTTTGGTAGCTGGGCCAGGAAACAGCACCATTCATGAACTCCGTATGATGCTTCCAAATTTCTGCATCATAATTCTCTGTTATGCTGAAGCGCAAATCATTTTCTTTGGTTTTTTCCAGAAACTTGTCCAATGAGTCGCCCCTTTTAGGACTTAAAAATATAGCTTCCGAGGGCTGAACTTTTCCCAACAGGAACTTGACAATTTGAGCAAGTCCATTGTGGAATTCCTTGAAGAAAGTGCTGTGAATATGCCATATCAAGTTAATGAATATAACAAAAAATAAAGCATAAATATTTGAATCCACTTAGTGTGCAATCATGTGTGTTCATGCATTATGTTACATACTCAGTACAAATGCCTCTTGTCAGCTAGTGAACAAAACCAAGATGTTAGATTTCCACAGGTCAACCAAAATTGCAATCGACAAAAAGTTTTCCTCACCAATAAACTCCCAAACTCATAAAAAATATGAATTGAATATAAACAAAGAGGAATCCACCATATCCATTTGAGAATACAAAGTGGTCTACAAAAAAGGGTTGCGCCTATCCAGACAACCACCATGGCATCAACTAAGTCCAAATTCCATGTCTTTATGATAGAAAGATGAAATCATTGGGAAGTCCATACCACTTGCCACATGCTTTGTGGTAACTAAGGCATAATCCCTCCCTTCTTTTAATGGAAAAGGAAAATGCACAGATTGTTCAAATGGAAACTTAAAAGCAAAAGGAACATACCAGTCACTGGCAACAATGAGATCAAAAGTGCTAGAGATATTTGAAATTTCGTTCTGATTCCAATGCAACATCATAGACTTCACTCTTGTACCACCAAATGCTTTAGAGTTGGCGTCAATATTATGCTGAATATCTAAACATTAAGGAATCTGGACATAACAGGTTATGATTCACCAAATGATAAATTGGCTTTGAATCAACAATAGAAACAAGTAGATATTTCCAAATTCACTTAAGAGAAGGGAAAAAAACTCTATTAGTAATGGATGGTTCCTTGACGAGATAACACAAAGACAGAACAAAACATGAAAGGACTTGTGGGTTTGAAAAGATCCCAAGCCAGAACCATGTTCATAGGGCACAAGAAACCCTCCAAATCAATCCTAGGCAAGCATTAAAACTTGAGCAGAGCTTAACAGCCTCCTTTCATAAAAGATACAGCTAGAGAATACAAACAATCTTAAACCTTCTCTTGTACTTGCAATTAGGACATGTATAGTTACAGCCCTTTGAAAGGGAAATGGAAAAGGACCGATCCCAAAGCTGCTTCAGTTATGCATCTTTCAGAGCAAAATTTCTGAAAAATCATCAGATAAGATAAGCCAACTTGTTTAATGTTTCTCATACAACTAGCATTCCCATCTTTATTTACCTTTAGCACGATACAATTAGGATACAATCAACTACTTGAGGATTTCCATCTGAAATTACAACTTCTGATGCCTCAGTGACTGCTGCAATAACTAAACCAGCTAAGCCATAGCCTGATCCAAGCTCAATTACTCTCTTAGACCTAGAAAGTAGAAATCAAATGCAAAGAAATCATATAGACGCAAAATGCACACTGAAAGCTGTATCAGAAGGTAGCAAACAACCCATAACAACCTGAACATGTCTGCGTGTGACAAGCAAAAGTATGCAAGAACCTCTTCTGATGGCCACTGACCTGTACAAAACCATGAACAAGATACATGAAGCCAAATGTTTGTTCAGAATCTCAGAACCAGTAAGATGTGTAGCCAATTTGTATAAATAGGAACTTACAAACAAGCCCAGTGTTGTCAATATTGTACTTATTACAAATCTCAAAGTCCCTGAGTTCAGCATGGTCAACCACTCTTTGACTGCGCCAAAAACAAACATTCCACCAATCACATAAAAGATATCTATAACAATGTATCAAGAACAAGAACCTTTAATAAAAATATTATATTATCAGCTCATTGTGCCATGTTTCAGATGTCCCACGTAGAGAAAATAAAACAACTTGGACAGTACCCTTATACGAGCTCTGGGGTTTTGCAAGCTTAAGTTTGAGCATGAGAAATTGAAATGAAAGATTCAATTTTGATGAGCTTTTCAAAAATACAAAATTCAAAGCTCACGTTAGGTAAAGCTTGGGAGCAGAGTCAATGGGCAAGGTGTAGCAGACGGTAACATCGCTCGAGTGAGATGGGTCGTCAACGAGATGGCATGGTAACAAGTTGAAGCCCTGCTTCGTCTTCCTCGTAATTCGCTTAACGCCGATTTCAGATTGCTCATCTGCTACAGTTCACAAACTATTCAAATTCAACAACAAATTCAGACTGTATTTGATCATAGAGAGAGAGACAGATTGAGGAAGAGGAAGGCACCGTTTGGTTTGCGAAGAATAGCTTGACGAAGAATTTTCCATCTGAGAGACGAAGCCTTGACACTTGTTCCTGTTGTTCCAGTTTCCATTGTTGGTTGCCTTGCCACTCTTTGCGCTCTCTCTCCGTCTTCGGGGATCTACTTCAGTCTCTTCACTTTAGCGGGTTGGTACGGAAACAAATGGTAGCATTATTTCGCGGACGTTACGGTGTCGTTTTAGTTGGCTCGTGATTGGGCCCTGGGCTTGTTTTATGAGCTAAAGCCCATCTACCAGCCCACGGTCAATTGCTAGCTTGTGACTTTTGTGCATTCACAATCAAAAATCACTCACACACGTCTGTATGAACGAATAATCATAGCAATTGAGAAATGTTTGGAAAAACAGAAAAAAAAACAAAAACAAAAACAAACAACAAAATAGATACCAGAAAAAGGAGTTGAGAAAGTAGGTGCTAAAGAAATAGGTTATGATTTTGATGAGGCGTGAGTTTGATTTCATGCCGATGTTAAAGAATGACAATTTATAACTAATTAGCAATTCGCCTAATGATATTTCTCTTTCACAATGTTACACGACATCATAAATTCGACTCTTCCTACCTACTCTAAATAAAAAAAATTTAAAAAAAAAAGAAGAAGAAGAAAATTTGTACAATTAATTATCATTTGCAAAAACAAATCATTCACAACACCGTGAACAAGGAGAGAACGGAAGCAACAAGATTAACTATGTGGTCGTGGTGTGGTTTTTGCTCTCATAAATCTTGGCATAAACATTCTTTGTTCTAAATGCCAACAGCATATCCAGTGCAAGCCCAAGCATGCAAGCAATTGCCATGATCACAAACACAAGCATGTAACAGTGGGGCCCAACACAGGTGGTCCCACCGCCACTGGTGCTAGTGGCTTGAGCATCGTATAGAAGACCAGCAAGTAAGCCAGAGAAGAGGAAGGAGCCCAAAGGAAGGTTGAGGATGAGAATGTTGTACAAAAGTCCATAGTATTTGAGACCAAATAGCTCTGAGGCAACTGGAACCGTTATGGTGAGAAGCACCCCATAGCCCATGCCCACCAAAATTGAACCAATGTAGAAAGATCCAGGCAAGGCTGAAGCCATGGCTATGAACCCAAGTGCCATTAGAACCTCAGCAGCTGCATTCCAAAGAGGCCTAGGGGTGCCACATTTCCTGCAACAACAAAAAAAGTATCAATTTATGGTTAGCAACATTTGGAACCCTTGCTTGTTATGCTATTCTTTAACCTGTCTACATGAGTGAGGAAAAAAGTGTTTAGTATTGAGTATCAATCTACAATATTAAGTAGATTAATAGTAAGTGTAAGTGATAATGTATTAGGTATTGTAAATTAATAATAAGTGACACGAGAAATTAGAAAGAACATACCCAATGTAGTATTCTGAGGCCAGGCCAGAGACTATGCGGCCAAAGAACCCCCAAATGCTAGTAAGTGACACGAAAATGGAGACATCATGGTAGCCAAGTGCCAGCCCCATCTGTGCCATATTGTTCATGACACACATTCCAGTGCCAACGCCACAAAGAAATGAGAAAAACAGTATCCAAAAATCAAACGTTTGTACCATTTCAATAATGGTATGGTCCTCCCCAATCAATGGCTGTCGCTTTCCTACAACATCTCTCAAATTAATGCCTTCATTTGAGTTCTGTATCTCTGGTGGCTTCTCAATTGGCCCTCCTATTTTAGCAAGCAGTGGTTCCTTAATTTGATGTTCTATATCATCATTATGGCAACTGGGTTCGGTGCCGCTGGGTGTGTAAAGAAAAGTGTACAAAGGTACACCCAAGGGCATAGCTAGAAGGACAGCAAGTCCTATGACAAATGCCAAAGAGAGAACATGACCATGAGTTCCAGTGATGTCAAATGCCAAGAGATAGACAGCTACAGCAATGGCAATGACATCAAAGGCATGGAAGAACTCTGCTTCTTGTTTCTGCTCTGATGACGTAGAAGCCGGTTCGGTTTCCTTGAGGAACAGGACAGCAGTGAGGCAAACAATGGCAGGGACTATAGCAAGCATAAGAAGAAATTTGGAGGGGTTGGAGGAGAATAGAGCAGTGCATAAGTCTGTGAAGATTGCTGTGCTTAACCCTACATACCCTTTAAGGATGCCTGAAACCGGACCGCGGTTTTTTGCGAAATTTCTCATGCAGGTCACTAGCACTGCTGTGTTCATCCATGTTGTGCTGTTGCCCCCCATGCACATAAATATGCACATCTACATCCAGGACAGAAAATTATTTCAATTATCAAGAACCCGAAAAAGAAGAAGATAAAAAGCATGTAATTAACTTACGGAATCTCCATTTTAACCACACATTCACACAAGAATTTGCTTCAAACGTCCTAATTAACAGTGTGACAACATAACATGACAGATTGTGCGATTAGACAACATTATAGAAATGTGTGTTTGGGTATACCTGCCAGTATGGAAGAGGACTGATTATCTGGCTAACAACCAGCCATTGAACTCCATATCCTATGAGCCCTTCCACTGCTCCAAAAATGAGAATAATGGAGGTCGGCCAACGATCGGAAGCCAGGCCAGATAAGAGCCCAAAGGCCTTGCCAACATCTTTAGCCACAGATAAGTTGTTAAGCTGAAGCTGGGTAAGTGCCATGAGAGATTTCAGAGCATGAGAATAGTTGGAAAATGTGTAATTGTTGCCGCTGATTGCTTGAACCCAAATGGCTGTTACAAATCCCAGCCATTTCCCAGCAGGGGATGTGAGAAATTGCCAAGGAAACATGATGACTCAAAGAAAATATTCAAAGGCAAAAAAGTAGATCAGAATTCAGAACTTAATATGTTTGTTTGCTCGAGTTTTGTCCGAGCTTTTTGGTTCTGCTTGACCGAGTTATTTATAAGTTTGTTTTGCCCTTCATTAATGCGGATAATGCTTAAATTAACAAATCTGTTTTGGTTTAGTCCATGGTTTTACAATACGGTGACGGATTAATGATGATTAAACAGAATAATGGAAAATATTATAACTTCTAAGACATTGCTGTTATATATTCATCAAGTGGATGAGGCTACCCTGGTTTTCAAGAAGAGAAGACAAAAAAAAAGGAAAAAAAAAGATGTCAAAATCCGGAGGAGCAGATGAGCATAAACACTCAACAAAACCATTGCCTAAACTTGGTGAACCCCCCGGATCAGAGAGCCTGTTTTCGAAATTGGCATGTACCCCAAATGACAGAAAATTAAAAAACAACATGAGCTGGATTGTATAATATCAATATCAAATGAATTGATATTTAATATTAACGATCAGTAAGAAATCTCCAATGAAGTTATTCTATAAATTAATTACTATTCTATCCTAAGCGAAGAATTATACATATCAATACATTCAAATCAAACAGCTGAACACACAAATTTTCTCCTAGTATTGGGCAGGTCTTAACCACTACACCTCATGCTGTTGAGGAAGAAGCCAAGGTACAACCATCTGGGCTACTTCCCCACCACTTAAAGCTAACATGTTCCATCCCCAGACACAAGTACAAAATTACCGCCATGAAAGCTAATCCAGCATCTAGAGCTCCGGATAGAACATAGTTGTGGCGGCTCCACAAGCCACGATAATACCTGTAAGCAATAAAGCCCGAGGCGAATCCAATGAGAACCCAGCTGGTGAAGTTGACAGCAGTAGCTGGAGGCATGTTAACTGTTGCTCCTAAGAGCACAGGCATGGTGATAAGTTTAATCCAATGTTTTCTTGGGAAGGCCTTGTGTGCAAGCCAAACTAGGACAGGAGCTATAGCCCCAGCTAAGAAAAACCAGTTGATGGCAGAATAATGGCCAAGATCCCCGAAGATTCTTCGAGGCCCAACAAGACCCCAAATAACAGAAGCATCATAGAAGACATGATCACCGGGGCAAGTCCATGGACTGTCTGCTGGTAGTAACGCCCTGTCGCATATGTCTGGGATTGTGTTCATAAGCCACCATGCAGTTCCTAAATGGACGAATGCTGCTATAATAGTACCAACTACCTGAAAACAAATTGTTCCTGAATTATTACGGGACCATGTTTCATCCATCAATCAATGGACCAGAAACTTGATGAAACTTCACAAAGTTATTTTTTAGGTCTTAAAGTGCCCAAAGTTAATTTTCAGGAAGCTAGCTAACCTGTGCCATGAACATTGCTCTTGGAGGAATCTTCATGTAGTGCCCAAGCTTGAAGTCTTCCAGAAAAGCGATCCCCTGCTTCATGCTTATGTATCCATAAACTTTAAAGCATACGTTAGCAACTGGATATCCTGGATACAGATACCCGATAATGTACTCTGTGATCACATTCAACGCTGGTTTCTGTTCATCAATGAAAAGATTGTTCATGAGCAATAACAATGCAAAACTAGGTACAAGCATGGGGTACCAGAATTAAACAGAACATGTTAAAATTTTAAGGGACACAGTTGGAATTTGAACCCTATTCAGGCCTATGGAAATAGGCTCCAGGGAATCCCCATAGGGGCCAAAGCATGTCAGCTTCATAAATTTAATACCACAGGCTGAATATGAGATTCCATGTTCAGCTACATTTGCTGAGTGTATAGTAAAGAACATCCCACGTGAACGCAAAAATGCAGAATATGAGAAAGAGCGTGATACTCTACCTGATTTGTTGTGGCAGCAATGACTCCAATAGGAAGAGTGAAAAACAAGGCTAGACCACAAGCAAGCAAGACCCCCCACCATTTCAATTGAAGTTGATGGTTGTAATAATGGCATGTAAATATGGTCGCTACTATGTTAGCCACCAGGATGCACATGAACCACCATCCAGGAACTTGCTTATATTTTCTCATGAGCTTCGTGTGCACATCCATCTTCTTCTCGCGGAAGGCAGACGTGCTTAGCTGCCAGATGTCTCTGCAAGCTTGAAAAATTAAGGCCCGATAACAAAATATAGAGCAATATAAAGCTAGTTCACCTTACACTATATTTAAAGCAATATATATAAGCAAGTGATGTCCATTGGACAAAATTGAAAAGACAGCATTATAATGTTTAAGGCAACAGTTCAACCTGCAGAGTGCGGCTTACCTCCCATTGAAAAGGAGAACATGAACAATAGTGGCAGTAAGGCA